CCACACTGGCTTAAAACAAATCCTGGGTACATTTAAAAAATACATTTATATACATTTTTAGAATTATAAAGTCTGCTCCCACTTTCCACACTGGAGGGGTAGCACTGGAGGCACGTTGGGTAGATGGAAAGATGGAAGGTGATGCAATGAAAGTGTTTGGGCTACACGTTTAAGAGACTACACTTCCAGTTATAGCTCTATAAATCTCAGGTTCTTGCCTAGAAAACCAAGAAATTTTATTCGGTGATCCCAAGGTCCCTTCCAGCTCTAAATGTCTTTGGATCCAGATGGCTTCTAAAATATGGAATGCTGCAATATATTCCTGCTGATCATTATATTATAAATGTTTATGATATAACATGAAGTTGGAAGGAAAAAAAACAGGGTAAAAATGACATTTATCCTACCATTGAATACGACAGAAGACTGGAAGAAAATATGCAAAGAAGAAAGTTTTAATGAAAGAATAACATTATAGGTCAAAATGTGTATTTCAAATAAAATAATAATAATAATAATTATTATTATTATAGGACCCAAAGTTCATATCAAAACAGAGCTGGAAATCCTTCTCTCATCATTCCTGCATCCTTTTATAAATGCCCCTGTATTTGTTTCTAGAGGTATGAAGTCCAAAATGGGTAGTATTGGGTCAAAATCAAGGTGTTGGCAGAGCTGTGTTCTTTCTAGAAGTTTAAGGGGAGACTCCATTTCTAGCCTTTTCCAGCTTCTAGAAGCTGTCCACATTCCTCAGCTCACACCTTGTTCCCCCTTCCACCTTCAAAGCCAGCAAAGGCCATTTGAGTCTTTCTCGCATCCCATCACTAACTAACCTTCAGCGTCACATTTTCTGACTCTCCCTTGCCTCCTCTTTTACTGACAAGGACGCCATTGTTATTACATCAGCCTCACCTGGGTAATACAGAATACGTAATCTTCTCATCTCAAGGCCAGCTGATTAGCAACTTTAATTCCATCTGCAACCTGAACTCTCCCTTGCCTTCTGTATAACATATCCACAAGTTACAGGGATTGGGGAGGGGACATCTTTGGGGGACTGTTTATTCTTCTCTGGAATCCTATTCCATCTAAAGAGGCCCCCGAAGCCTCTTTGCATCTTCCTGATTGCCCTTGATCATTTCACCCAGTTTAAGCTGCATAAGACATGGCACAGGGAGCAGCACAGACCTCACACTGAGATTTGCCTTGGACCCTGTGGTCCCTCATGGAATTGCTGCCAGTCAGCGAGATGCCTCATAGTACCCAAAGCTGGACATCCAGCTGGCAAACATTTACTGAGCACCTTCTATGTGCAAAAAAAAAAAAACTAAACCAGGTGTCAGAAATAATATAAATATGAAGATGACACAGTTCTGCTCATAGAGCTCACAGTCTAATGGAGAGAGGACCCATTCAATAAACACCCAAAATACAAAGCACAAAAAGAAGGAAGGACAGGTAAAGTAAGGTGAGGGAAAGTGCCAGAAGCTATGTCCCCATTCTGAGGAGATGGTGGCAGCAGAACTGAGCCCAAGCTCACTTCCAGCTCTAATTTTTTTATTTTTTTAAATTATAAATTAGTACAAGGAAATGCCCCTTGTTCTGCTTTCCCCCGTTTCTTCTCCCAACATGCTATCTCCATCTCACTGATCACAGGTTATTTGCTCTATTTTGAGATATTTATATCCTTCCAGAAATATTCTACATGTTAAAATACTCAGATGCAAAATCTTATATTGATAACTTGTAACATTTTTTTTTTACACAATGGGTTCATTCTATAACTTTCTTTTGCAACTTGAAATCAGTCTCTGACCAAATTGAGGTTATTTTCACAAGTCAGTACAATATGTATTTGTATATTTCTAGGGTAAATCTCTAAGCATGGAATATCTGTGTCAAAGGATATGTTCGGTTTTAATTTTCACAGATTTTGCCAAGATGTTATCCAAATATACAAAGCTGATTTACTCTCCCTCCAACTTAGTATGAGAACAACTGTTCTTCCGCACCCAACCAGCGCTGGATATTATCCATCTTTTTAACCTCCACCAATCTGATAGGTGGAAAAAGGGTATCTCAATGTGGTTTTGATTTGCATTTCTCTAATGATGAGTGTGGTTAAACGTTTTTTTTTTTAATGTGCCTGTTTATATTTTAAATCTTTGGGCCATCTGGAATTTATTTTGTTATAAGAATAGAACTTTATTTTTTCCAAATGGCAGTACTAGTTATTAAATAATTCACATTTCCCCCACTGATTTGAAATGCCACCAATCTCTAAATTTTTAAATGAAAAGAAGCCACCTCAACCTAAAACTCACACCATATACAAAAATTAATTCAGAATAGATCATGGATTTAAAGGTAAAATAGAAAACTTCAGAAAAATGACACAGGAGAAGCATCTTTTGCACCTAGAGATAAGCAAAGAGTTCTCAGGCATGACACCAAGAGCAAAATCTGTAAAATAAAAAAAAATTTAATAAATTGGGCTCTACCAAAATTTAAAAGTTTTGTACTGTGAAATATGCTGTTAAAAGACAAAAAGGTACAACTAAGAGAAAATATGTGCAGGCCACATATTCAACAAAGGTTTATAAATAGAATATACAGTAAAACTGAATTGCGAGTAACTTGGTTTGTGAGTGCTCCACAAGATGAGCAAACATTTCTAATACATTTTAATGTGGTAAATGAGCGATGTCTTGCAATACAAGTAATTTGTTTCCGGAACAAATTACACTTGCAAACCAAGGTATTACTGTATAAAGAACTATCAAAATTCAACAGCAAAATCCCCAAAAATCCAATCATAACAGAAGCAAAAATATTGAACAGATATTTCACCAAAGAGAAGATATGGATGGCAAAGAAGTACATAAAAAGGTGTTCAATATCATTAGCCATTTGGGAAATACAAATTAAAAATTTAAAACACAATGAGATATTACTACACACCTATTAGAATGGCTAAAATAAAAAACAATGATAACACCAAATGCTGATTAGGATGTAGAGAAACTGGAACTCTCATATACTGCTGGTGGAGATCTGGAAAATAGTTTGGCAGTTTCTTCAAAGACTAAACATGCAGTTACCATACAAGCTAGCAACTGCACTTTGGATATGTATCACAGAGAAATGAAAACTTGTGTTCACAAAAATGTTCACTTTGTAAATTATATAAATGTCTAACCACTATGCTGTACACCTGAAATTAATATAAAATAAAGCTGAATGTCAGCTGTAATTGAAAATTAAAAAAAAACTGCACGCGAATGTTCACAGCACTTTCATTCATAACAGCAAAAAACTGGAAACAGATCAATTGTCCTTCAGTGGGTAGATGGTTAAACAAACACTGGTAGATCCATACAATGAAATACCATTTAGCAATAACCAAAGTATTAACTCTTAATACGTGCAACAATCTGAGTGGACCTCAGGGGCATTATGCTGAGTGATAAAAGCCAATTCCAAAAGGTTACATATTGTATGATGTTTGATTCTATTTATACAACATTCTCCAAAGGGTAAAACTACAGAGATGGAGAACAGATAAGTGATTGCCAGGGCTTAGAGTAGAAAGGTGGGGCTTGGGTCCCCAAATATAGAGCTAGCAGAGAGAGTTCTTCTATGCTGATGGTACAATTCTGTATCTTGATTGTGGAATTACAAGACTCTATACATGTGACGAAATTGCATAGAGCTATGCACACATAAATGAATGCAGGTTTAAAAATGATTAAAATAAGATCTGTAGTATAGATAATAGTAATGTACTGATGTCAAGTTCCTGGTTTTTATATTGTAGTGCAGTTATAGAATATGTCATCATTGGGGTAAGCTGGGGGTACCAATTTTTACAAATTCCTGTGTGTATAACTATTTCAAAAGAAAATGCTTAAAATTTTCTTGAAATGAAAAAACGAGAGAAGAAAATCATCTTTGCCAAAGGTGTTCCTTTGCACAGCATAGTTCTCTTTGGTGCTTGCTTCATTCACAATAACCTACACCCTCTCTCTTTCCCAGACACACAACATACTATCTTTTTTCGGAAAATCTGTAGTCAAATGGAAGGTGCCTTAGACCAGAACGTACAGAAAAGTTTCATAAATAAAAAATAGTTCAAAAGAACACCTGCATACCAGATTAACCAATTGTTAATATACTTGTATTAACCTATCCACTTTATCATGTGGGATCTATCATCTATGTCATTGTTTCTGAATCATTTAAAGGCAAGTTACACACATCGTGGGCCCCTGCACACTTTAGTGTTTATTTCCTGATAATATTATTTAATATAATCATAGTACTGCTATCAAGTTCGGTAAATTTAACATTGATTCAATACTTTAAACCATCGTTCCTATTCCACTTTATCAGTGGCCCCAATAATGTCCAGTACAGAATCCAGCCCGGGGTCAGGCATTGCACTTAGTTGCTGTGCCTCGTTGAGAACGTTAGTAGATCCAGCTTTGCAACCAATCTCTCCTTTTCACGGGGCACCCGGAATTCTCACCTGTAAATTGGGATGGTGGTAATTGCCCCACTTTGCGAGTAAAGGCACTTCAACAGTCTAGGAGAGCTAAATGGCGTATTTCTCTTCTGCATCATTACTCCTCAGAACTGTCTAAATATTCTGTTGTGGGTTGGGCAGAGGAGACCTGCTTTGGTTTTCGTTACCAGCCTGGGACAGCGACATAGGGAGGCGAGCCAGGGGATAGAAGGAATCGGGGAAGGGATCCTCTAGGGAAGAGAGGACAGAGACGGTGCGAAGTACCCCCCTTCTCCCGCCCCCCTCACCTGGAGCAGCAGCGACCAATCGGCGGCGCGGTCTGGGTCCCCGCGGCCAATGGGGATGCCGCGCGGCGCGCGCCCCAGGGGTATAAGCGCGCGCGGGCTGCGGAAAGTGAAAGTGGGGCGGTCGCCACACGCGCAGCCGCCGCCTCCCGGGTCCCAAGCGAGGGCGCCGGGGCTGCGTCGCTGCCGGGATGCTCAGAGCTCCGGAGCTGCGGCCGGGGGAGGCGGGGGCGGCCACTCAGGCCAAGCCACTCACCTCCTTCCTCATCCAGGACATCCTGCGGGACGGCGGCCCCACGGCCAGCTCGCAGCCCCGGGCCCCACCGCAGCTTCCTCGCCAGCCGGTCCCCAGGCAACACCCAGAGCCGGAGCCGGAGGAGGGAAGAGGTGGCGCCAGGGCGCAAGAGGACGAGCGGAGTGCCCGGCCCTGCGCCGCGCGGGTGAAGGCCGAACCGCCGGCGGAGACGGAGTCAGGTAAGCCGGTGAAGCTGGGGAGGCTGGGCTGCGCCGGGTGGGGTCCTGCAGAGGGCGGAGCGGCCCGAAGGCTGCGCGGGCGTGAGGGCGAGTCCCAGGCGCACCTCCGGGAGTGCCGGCAGCAGGGATGCGGGCCCGCTGCTACGTGCGTGGGGACCTCACCGCCTCCCGCCGCGGACGCGCCTCGGAGATGAACCCCGAGCCCTAGGGTCAGGACGGCGCAGGATGTAGACATCCGCCCGACTCGCCCTCACTGTGCCACGGGCTCGGGGAGCCGCGGCAACCCCGGGCTCAACAGCGAGCGCACACGCAGCCCCCATCGCCCTCCCGCGCGTCCCAGGTGAAACCCCAACCCCAGCTCCCAACCATTGCGCGACCCTTGATCCGCACCGGCCCTGCGCTACCTCTTGGCAGTTACCGTAATTGACATAACAAATAGCTGATAATTACTTATTAATATAAATACATTAGGGCTTGCCCAGCAAAGACCCCCCCCCCCTTACTTCCCAATCCCACTGGCAGTAGTAAATTTGGAAGTTCCCTCCGGTCTTCTGGAAATACATCACCGCAGGAACATTGAGAGTAGACTTATTTTCTTTCCCATCACTTCTTATGAGGCATCCTAACGTCTCTTTAGAGAAAAAATGGGAATTAAAGCCAGAGAAGTAGCTTGCCATTAGCCCCCACAGCCTCTCCTGTCACACAAGCCCTCTCTTGTCACCCAGGTGTTAACGCAAGATGCCTTAGGTCCTTCAGGAAGCATCTTATTTCTCCGTGTCTTCTTCCCTCACCGTTCTTCAGTACACGTACCCAGAATCCCTATTTAATTTTGGATGACTTGGTAGGAAGTTCTACCACGAACCGCTTCTTACTTTGGGCTCTTGATAGCTGTTAGAAAACGAATACATAGCCACTCACTCCCCACGCGGGAGAGCTCCTTAGGCATGTGAAAAAAGTGAAATGTATCCAAGATGACAGTGGGCTGTTTGTTCCCTCCCTGAAGAAAGAAGGGTGGATTGAATTCTGTTCTCTTCCCTGCTAACATGTAACTTTTTCCTACCCATCCTGCCCTCTCCCCTCTCCTTTCCAGATAGGCTCTTGGAGACGTATCTGTTGGACTGTGAAAACACTTCAGGCGCCTCGCCGAGCCTTCCCCAAACCCCCAAGCAGCCGCCAAAGCGCTCCCGCGCTGCCTTCTCCCACACTCAGGTCATTGAGTTAGAGAAGAAGTTCAGCCACCAGAAGTACCTGTCCGCCCCTGAAAGGGCTCACCTGGCCAAGAACCTCAAGCTCACGGAGACCCAAGTGAAAATATGGTTCCAGAACAGACGCTATAAGACCAAGCGAAAGCAGCTCACCTCGGACCTGGGCAGCCTGGAGAAGCACTCCTCCTTGCCAGCCCTGAAAGAGGAGGGCTTCTCCCCGGCCTCCCTCCTCTCCATGTACACTAGCTATCCTCACTACCCCTACCTGTACTGCCTGGGAGGCTGGAGCCCAGCTTTCTGGTAACACCAGCTCAGACAACAAGCATGCGTGATCAGAAACTGCCTTCCCCAGGCTGTCTCTCTGGAAAGCAAAAGGGGCCAGGCCCGGTCAGGGAGAACTGGGGAACAAGAGACATGCAGACCAAAACTGTTGGTGGTTTGCATGGAAATCCAGATGCTTCACTGGTGGGCCAATGAGAGATCTGGGCTGGTGAATAATTTAATATCCAAATAGTTTCCCCAACACGAAACGTAGGTCATTTTTGCTTTTAGAGACCTGCTTGAAGTGGGGAGGAATCAAGTCAAGCGCTGCTTACAGCACTGTGTATGATTTTGTATGAGCCGCCCACACTGCTTCTGAGGAGGCCGTCCCCACAACTCCGTCCTGGGGTATAACTGAGTGTTGACACTGAAAGAGCAAACCTGAGGGAGAAGGGGCAGCCAAGATGAGGATGTCACCTACTGAATTAGACTTCATTTCAAAAGCCTCGTTGGCCTTGGAATAGGACTAAGTTTTCTCTCTGTCCCTCTAAGAGAGAGGAAAATAGATGTCACTGAGAAACCCATCATGCTCAGCGCACAATGGCTTGGGCTATGGAGATGGGTCAGAGGACGTGGAAATATAAGCTGATTATTTCTTTCGGAAGAGTATGCCAACTTGAGTGTTCACAGGGTGGCCCAAGTGGAAGAAGAAGCAGTCGCTGTGGGTTTAAGACAAGCTGTGTAAACAGAACTCCACTGTAAGAAGTGGCCCAGGCCAGAAGAATCTCCGTGTGTCTGAGACAGTGGCTAAAGGACAGGTTTCCCACTGCTGCAGGGAGCATTGATAATTTTATTAGCAAAAGGTAGAAAAGCCTCTCCTGGACCTTTTTGCCCTGGGCCTGAGAATTTAGAATGAGAAGGTTTCTGGAGTTTTCAGGCTACAACTCATACCACATCATGACATAATTCTTTTTTTTTTTTTTTAGATCACATAATTCTTGACTCTAGGCGCCTTCCTTCCCTTCTTTTAGTTTTGTTCCTTTTCCACAGCAGTCACCCACTGAAAGGCTTCTTTTCAGTCCAGACTTTTAGTCTGGCTGCACCTAACATATGCCTTTCTTAATTAGGCTGAGATCTTGTCTGTTTTTTTCCCCCCCAAAACTTTATCTTTCCTGTTTTTTTCTTCCCCCCCCCCAAGGCAGAGTCTGAATTGGCTTCAAGACATGCATTTTTTTGGGTATTTAACAATTCTTATTTCTTTCCTTTAAAAATATACAGCATTAAATCCCAAATCCTATTTAAAGATTTGACTGCTCTAGAGGGTCACTGCTGCTTTTATAGGACTTGCTGGTGGCCATTGAAAGTCTGATGACCCTTTGGGACCCCTGCAGGAAGAGGAGGTAAGAGGTATGGCTTTCACACACACACACACACACACACACACACACACACACACACACGGAAGAACGCTGCAAAATGCAGGGTTGGTACCATTGAGATGTCTAGTGGAAATTGAGGGCTCCTGGGGGGCGGATGTGGAAGAAAAGGCGGCCTGGGCTTTAGAAAGCTCAGTCCCCTGATCAGGCTGACAGAGCGGAGAGCACTTTGCAAGGAGAGGCTAAGAAAAAAGAAACCGTTTTCAAAACACATTACTGTGGCTTCCATCACTAAACAACAACAGCAGAAAACTCCACATGCTTCGGGAACTGTATTTAATGCCTATAAAAAAACAATAGGTGCCCCAAATGAATCACCTTGTGACTTCAGAGAGAATGAGAAGCGGGCAAAGGTGAAATGTGGCCACCCTTCTGTTTGCATCCTATTATCTCAGGTGACCTGGTAGAGAGAGACATTGGAATAAAATAAAATAAAAAATTCAGAACTAATGAAATACCCTGAAGCCTGGAAATCTCTTGATCCCACCACTTAATTCTGTTTAGTGAGGAATCTTTCAATTTCCCCCCATTGAGAGCCAATTTACTATTGGTGGCGAAACTGCCAAAGTTGAGAGAAAGTTAGCCCGGTTCACCCCACTTTCTATCATTCAGGCTCCACGTCGAAATATTGTAAAATGACGCAGGCTGCTGACAGCATTTGGGAGCACAGAAAGCAGCGGAGCCTAAATTGCTGTTTCCTTTTCACATGTCTCATAAGATACGTGTTCAGTGCTCACTCTCTGCTCAGTACCCTTTCTCTCCCCACCCTCGGAATTTAATTCTTTCGGCCTGCAATTCTGCAAGTATTAAACATTTTACTGTGATGTATATTGTGTTACAGGAAAAAAAAAGTTCATTTAAAATTATTTGGTCTGTGAATTCATCTTGTAGTTCCCCCATTGGAAGTCATCACTCAGCTATATCTGAACTGGTAGAACAACATTTGAAGAACTAGTATGTTGGAATCTGACAGGTGAACGGGAGGGTGCCCCAGACCATTTTACCCAGACGGCCTCTTTCTATCCTATGTAATACGTTAGTTTGGGTTCTCCATGTGCATCACAAACCCTGCTCCGATTTGTAACAAAAAGGCCTGTGACTTGAGATTTAATAAAGTACCCCCACCAAACTTTATTTTTCTATGTATTTTTTTGCAACATGAGTGTTTTTACAATAAAGGACAGTGTCTTGATTAGACGTATCTGTGTGTGATTTTTCTGTATCCTAAAGACTGTATGCTATTGAGCTCACATTTTTCTGGTTACCACCCTCAGCCTACCTGAAAAATCTATGAAGAACAAATAATCAAAAGCAGTAGCAGATGATGGTCATTCTTTTGTACATGCACTGGCCTCTGTTCCTGGTAAATCATGTGGAGGGGAAAGGAATTTCTGTCTTTAGTTTAATAATCACCTGCTCCAGCCCAGGAGTGCCTTTTGTTTAAATAGAGAACATCAGGTATTTACTTACATTTCTTGAAGACCCTGAAAGGAACATGTAGACCACACAATACATCTTTTAAAATTCCCCATTTGTCTCCCACTAGTCCTTCATATTACCACTACTCCCCCCAGCACCTGGCCCCTGCGTCTCCCAGAAAAAAACGTTGCCTTCATTCAGGGCAGAGAGACTTCTTGCGAGCAACACCTTTGAATCAAAAACACAAGTATTGAAAATAGGTTTAACATAAAATATGTAAATAACACATCCTTCATCTGCCTGCACTTAAACCTTCATTAAATCCCACAAGCAGAGTGTCTCATGCGCCTCATTACCTGAGAGAACGGATGGTTTTCTTGCCCCCTCCTTCAAGGAAATAGAAGCTTAAAAGAGTAAGGTACTTACTCAAGGTAAAACATATCATAATTTCAAAGTTTGCTCTAATCCTTTAAGTACATTGTACACACAGGTGGGGCCTCCTGTAACATGTTCACATCATGAGATTTAACTCTTTGCACAAATCGACAGCCATCCTCCCCTCCCCTGGAAGGCCCTTCACTCTCATATTACAAAGGCGCTGGCAGTCAATTAACAATGTGAATTTTTTTTTAAACCATTAGAAATAACTAATCCAGGAAATTAAACAGAAATCTCTCATCTCTAAGGAAAGTTCTCTGCCTCTTCTTTGTCCCACTTCCAACTTGCCTTCGAAATCTCTGCTCATCTCACACTAGCTTCTCCCAGCCACTTTCCTCAGCATGCCACCTGTTTGTGGTCTCTGGAATCCCTTTGCTGTCTTGTCTCTCAAGTCACTTCAGGGACCAGTTTCTAGAGTTCCTGTCGCTTGGTCACTGGCGGTTCCATTGGTCCTCCCCAGGCCTCCTTAGGAAGGCCATCGCTGCCAGAAGGGAAATGAGTATTAGAGATTTACACCTGACAAAATGCGCATTCCTTCTAACTACAAAGCAAGTCATTTTCCTAGGGTGATGTTAATACCATGCCTCTTACAGCTGACCTCTGAGAAAACAGCGGCCATGACGAGAAAGTTACTTAGCTTAAGTGCCCTGTGATGCACACAGAAGGTTTATGGAGAGCGTGCTCAGCTCTGGAGATACGTAAGGTATCTCCAGATACTTAAGGAGGAAGTGTGGATGGTAGGGTTGAGAAGTAAAAGAAGCTGACCCACAAAGCAGCTGTAACTGAGGCCTCACTCAATACTTTAAGAAGCTCCAAAGCCAATATATCCCAGATTGAAGAAAGGCTGTGGGCACCTGTATCCCAGCCTTAGCCTCCTGAAAGTGGGAGCAACCTGGTGCAATGCAATTCCTTTCTGGGTAAGGCAATGGCCACAGAGGAACACAGCTGTGAGTCCTTAGCATCAACACTCCCAGAGGCTGTGGGGTGCTTCTCCCCTGTACTGGGGGCTTAGTGGGGCACCACGGAATTCACTCGAAGACATATGATCCCTTCCTTGGTCACTCTCAGGGCCTTGGTCACTCTCATAGGGCCACGGTCACCACCAGTCTTTGCAGTGAGGAAATCTGAGTGGGGTGGATCCTGGTAGGCTCCGAGCTCCGAGTTCTGCACTCAGACATCCAGATTCTGCCCCTCCCACAGCCATCATGAACAGGTCACCGGGGCTTGTTTTGCAAAGCCGAGAGTTATTTACTGCCCAAGGAAAGGGGCAGGAACTCTAGTCCTGGGACGCGAAGAGCTCCTAGTTTAGCCATAGACTTGGCCTTCCCACACACTTTCCCAGACAGACTACCCGTCCATAGATGGCAAAGGAAAGGAGAAGAATCTCAGTTTCCACACCGTGTCCTCCTCTCACCTCTGCAAAGGCTCCAGATGTGGCCTTGACTTATTTCCCGAGCTTGTTCTGGGCCTGATGAGGGGTTTAGGAGAGATTTAGGATAGATGTTTAGGCTAGAGCCCCTGTGTGGCCTCTTCTAACTGGGCAGTCTTCACCTATTTCCAGATAATCCAGTGATGGGCGTGACCCTCATTTGGGAGGTGATGGGCTGACACACAGAGGAATGTCCCATGTTTCTCCTTGGAATGACTGTAGGATACTTACAGTTTTTTTGTGTGTTTTTTTAAGCCTGGAAACTATGGCGGTGCAGGAAAAGTAAATGCTGATTTTGCTGTCTTGAAGGTGGAAGCCCAGCAGCATTGAATCTCAAATACCAGTCATCCCCACCCCGTCTCCGATGCATTTGCAGGATGGACCTCGGTCCCGTGGTTGTCAGCACTGGCTGCACGTGAGAATATTCTGGGAGTCTTTGCAAGAACAGACAAAGGCCCAGCCCTATTTAACACCAATTGCACTATACTCTCTGCAGTTAGGATTCAGACATCAGTATTTTTTTTTTTTAAGATTTTTTACTGGGGAATTGGGGGATGGGAACAGCGCTGAGGAATTGGGGGAAGGGGAACAGAGAAGTTGCTGTCCTTTTGTTCTTCAGTCTAGTTGTGGAGGACGTTGCTTCACTGGCCCAAGTTGGCACCATCATTGCGCTATTCCTGTCGAGGCAGATCAGTCGCCACTTCTGGTCGGCCACTCATGACGGCTGCTGGCTACACACGGTAGCCCATGGCAACCCACTGCAGCAGGGGCTGCAGCCTACGCCGTCGCTGGCGACTCTCGGCAGCCCAGCTCCAAGTTGAGCTGTTGTTCAGCACCTTAGCTGTAGAGGGCAGTGTCACTGGCCCTCATATGTGGGATCAGAACCGGGGCCCTCTGGCGTTCCAATCCAGCTCTTAACCAACGCTCCACTCGGCCGGCCCTCAGTATTATTATTATTATTATTATTATTAATACTAATGTCCAAGCTTGCAAGCCACTTGCTTAGCCTCTTTCCAACTGGTTTGCCTACTCAGCCTCACAGGTGCCAGGAGAAGAGAGAGCTACCTGGAGGAGCCAGGAAGGGAGGAGCTGGGAATGCTGGGGTTTTTGTTTTTTTTTTTGGCTTGCTTGTTCTTTTTACAGAGCAGATGTTCAGCTTTTCTTACTTTCTCCTCTGGTCCTCTCCTTTTGGAATTTCTGACATCATCAAACGGCCCTGTATAATCTGGGAAAGTCCAGCTCCTTCCAGGTAATCCCTCACCCAAAGCTGAAGGGGCCCCAACTGCCTGGGTATCTGGCTAACCTGATAATCCAGAAGCATTTGTCACCCACCTCCAACCCAGGTCCCTTTAGACTGACAACGCACTCAGACTGCCCGTGGAGGACGGAAAAGAATAGTCTATCCTCAACTCTGTTTTTTCCCCTTATTTTTTAGTTTCATTTGTTTCTTTGTTTTTATTGAGATGTAACTGATATAACATTATATTAGTTCCAGGGGTACACCATAATGATTCAGCATTTGTATACACTGAGACTTGATCATCACTATAAGCCTAGTTAGCATCATCCTGGCCCTTTGTTGAGGCATTTTTACCTGTCCTGGGACTACAGAGCCTGTTTGTGCACCACTGGGAATAGCGGTGTCATTTAACATCTGTCAATTAGTGTTACGCTTCCCTGACAACTCATCTATCAGGATTAAGTAGTGTCTTAGGACTGACATAACATTTACACTTCCTTCTGCCAAATTGGCAATATTACACTTTCTTTAAAAAGTGTGTGTGCGGAGATGGAGAAGGTGAAGGGTGGCTTGCAGGGCGAGGGAAGGAATATGCCTTGTGCCAACACAGCTTTTGACTAAAATTTGCATGTGATAAATGCAGAGTTGGCATCAGAACTCCAGTGCAAAGCCAGAAAAACATAAACTTGACCCAAACGACGTCTGAAAACAAGGATGATGGAAATGACTTAGCTCGGCCAAATTCTTTGATGGAGAAGAAAGCAAGGAGTATTCACAACACAAAATTGGGGGAGGGGAGGAGATGTCATGGAAAAGTTTGGAATCCCTCCCTCATTCCATGCTGAGAGCTTGTTTATACTTAGATCCTTCATGATTTTTCCCTTCAAGGAAGGTCTGACTCATCAAAGGCTAATATGTACTGGTTCTATGCCTTGCAAAGTGAGGAGCAGAGAGTGTACAGAGGATTGCCATAGGCACAGGTCCACGAGGAGGTGCTTAGTTTTAGCAGAGCTTTAACTAAAAGGTCCATAGCTCCTTTTTGTGACAGAAACTGACGTTAACGGAGATATCAGTGTGAGAGACTTCTGAATCAAGTTAGAGAAGAGAGACATTTACAGAGGCTGCACCTGTTCTTTCGTTGCTCCCGGTGTGAAGCATTTCCATTGGCAGGATGAACTGATGATGGAAACTAGGGACAAATGTCCCAAGGCCCTCAGTGTGATTCACGCAAATGCTTTCTCTGGATTTTTCATTTTCCTTACCTTATCCATGGGTAGGTGAGCCCCACCGTAAATGTACAAATCGCGTCAAGAAATTCTCATTGACTAGAGAAGGGAAAGGGAATGGGGTGAGGGGTGATGGTGTGGGTGAGGAAACATATATGAAGGCTCTACTGGTATAGATGCCCAACTTCTGCAGCCCTCCTATTTCTAGAATCCCAGCTCCAAGAAATGCCTTTTCAGCCTTGACTGAAATTGTGTACCTTGTTCCTGGGCTGCTGCCTTTTTGCCCTTTGAGCTAGTTTAACTACATGTGAACAGCCAAGGCGAAGGAGGAGGGACAACAGAGTGGGAAGTGACAGGGAAGGAGCCGGACGGGTAATTTTCCACGGCCGGTGGAAGCATCTTCATGTGTGTGTGAGTTCAC